TAGGTTGAATTGGGTTAAGTTAGGTGAAGTAAGGCGGTTAGGATCAGGTCAGACTGTAAGACCTGGTCAGGTTGATTTTAATCTTTCATTCTAATTTGACATAGATACCTATTACCTATGTTTTTGCTCCAGACTGTACTTCATTAGGTAATGAGTTCATTTTGTTTTGTTTTTTATCTGTCTTGTTTTGTGTTTTTGTCCCTTATGTTTTGCCCCATAGGCAAGGGTGGAGCTTTTCCAGGGAAGGTGGTGCTGGTTGGGCAAAAAGCTGTCAAACCTGCAATGCTCGGTTGTTAAGTTAGATTATGTGCAACACTGAATCAATTCTTTTAATTACAGAACTAATATTTTGAATTACACAGACATTTCAAAGCTCCTCAATGCGAACAACATAGTGGTTTGCTAAGCAACGAAGTTCTACAAATAAGCAAAAGTTGGAGGGGCAGAACGCTATTTTTTCTCTGACAGCTTCGTAACTTGTTACGAAGGCACTAAAACTACTTCAGTACAGGGTGTAACGAAATTATCCGGACATCTATTTTTTGCCATATCTGTTTGCACAGTTTCCTCATACTTTCTGATGTTAGAAGTGGGAATATTGGATGAATACGTGCCTCTGCTATCGGTTTTCAACTCAGCAGTGACCTGACCTTGTCATGTGACTGTTGCTCTGAGTAGGAGTCGATTCACAGACGGGTTCACATGGTAGTTGTCGTCCAAGGCAGTTGCGAGAAAGGGATACAATCTCTCCTTTCGTGGTAAAATTGCATGGCGGCATCCACGGCGTCATGAGCCAGAAGCTGGTCTGCCAGCAGCTAGACATCAGCAGCAGCCAATTGCACATCTGCCTGAGGTGTAATAAGCTGGGACTTCGGTGGCAGACTCAGCCCGGTCGCGACCACAAAAGCCGCCCTTTGTCAAGTGGTGAGGAGAGTTGTCAGGATAGCGGCAAGGAAACGGCACCAATCAATCTGCAAATTGACTCGAATTCTTACCAAGTCAGATAATAAGAGATCCCATATCATGGTTTACCGCTACCCGCCCTTTAACTTGGTTCTAGTGCCCTTCAAACTGAAAAAGACAACGAAACTGACGGGAAAACAACCAGTTCACATCCTTTCGCCTCACGCCGGATCGCGTCCACTGGATGAAGAATGATAAGGGTGAGGTGGTCTGGTTGGATGGGTAGCCGTTCGAGCTGTTTTATCCTTTGAACCGTCAAATCGGCCATGTATGGGCGGCCAGCCGCTCGAACTTGCTGGCCTTCGCCGCCGTCAAACATCCGGACAATATCCAGAACTGGAGCATGTTCAGTTGCCTAGCGATCCTCCAATAGGACATAGTGTCACATAATACCACCATCAACGTCAAGTATTACCCCGGAGAAACATACTGGCTAATGAATAGTCGGAGGCGCTCAACCAGACGGTATAGGAGGGCTCGGTTTCTGAACGCGCACTGATGCCTGATTCAAGCCACGCTATCTTCATGCGGGGCGGCGCGCTACTTAAAAGTCCCTAAAAGAACGGGAAGTGATGCCGATAGAACCTTCAATCATTCTGGGCTAACGCTTATGACTTGGAAAAAGTCGCGATCCCAATTCAATTGAAAACCTGTGGGCTCTTGTTCAGCAGGTGACTGAAGAGACGCCCGCCACAAGCACCGCCCAACCGCAGGCACAGGTTTAGACGGCGTTGGTCCGCGTCAAAGCCAGTTTGCTGGAGAATCCATTGGCTGAAATGCTCCAAAACATTCGCCACTGTGTTTTTATGAAAGGTGGCTACATGCTCAGTCAAAATAAAAAGTACCAGAATGTGTTGCTTTTTAATAACAGCGGGAAGAAAGATGTCCGGATAATTTCGTTACACCCCTGTAATGTTCAAATGGTTGCTAAATTCGAAATCAGCTAAACAAAAACTAGCCTAGAAACATGTTAAACTCGAAAAAGTGAACCGGGGTCATCAAAGGTCATTGAGCTGACCTGACTTTCATGTGACACCCACCCTAATGCATGGGACGAGCATCATATCACATGTTTCAACGCTTGAAACCACTTAAAGACTGCAAACGCGCGGCTAATGCGAGCAGACATATCGCCGAATCGCGATTCGGGCCAAACATGGTCTCGAGAAACAGGTCACAGGTCAAAGGTCATTTGGGTCAGGGTCATGAAATTTTCAGGGTAGGAGTAAAATTGATAAAATCGGGGGTATTGAAAGTTTCGTCGCGATCGGACGGTTTTTACGCGAGTTACTCACGAAAAACCGATGGGGTCCGCTCAACGCCTCCCCCTATACGGGCGAGGGAAAAGCGCAACCAAAAAGGCAAAAATACGCACATGCGATAACCTATACTGCGAAAAAAAGGTGCATCATTTTTTAACGTCGCCGACAAATTGTAATTACCCCAAGCTCAGGCAGCTGTATGGTAGAAAATGCCCCAACTGAAATACACTACGGCGCAAATAAAATACCCTACGGCGGAGCTCGGTTGCAATTTGTAAATACGCGCCCCGTTTACATAGGAGTTGCCAGATTCACATGCCAGCTCGATCTACTTTCAGGTGTTCGGCCTCCGCCATGTCGACAAATGCTGCGCAGCAAATACAAAATCCAGAAATGTGGTAATGGAGTGCTGGCCACCAAAAAGAAAAAGCCTGCCAAGTTTATGACGCTCTTCATGTTATGTAGTTTTGATAATAAACGACGCATGGGCTTCAAATGAATTGTATGTCGTACATTTGGGCATCATATGAGTTGAATATTGCAAAGTTTTTGCCCAACATTTTAGCATAAGACTAAGTTGTTTCAGAGGTGGAGATCTCGGGGGGGGGGGGGGGGGGTCGGGGTGTCAGGACCTCCCTGAAAACGAATTACTGCTATGTAAGTCAACGGTACTGCATCCAGCCCGCCTCCATCTGCCCGGCCTGGACCCCCGCTGAAATTTTGACAGATCTCCACCCCTGAGTTGTTTCCATGAAAACGATGAAAATAAAGCTGATTGTTATGTTCGATGCACTCCTTGCGGCTTACATTTAGCGGATTGCATTTATTCATATTCTGCATTCATTTATAGAAAGATCAAATATATAACACCCCTTTTCCCGCTTACCTTCAACCTCTGAGCAGTGACATTTTCTTGATCGATTCAAAAGGCATGGAAACACCAAGCAGAAACTGAGTGCGTAAGATATTTGGTAGCAGGTATCACATACGCTCTAAATGACTTTCTAAGCAGATTCGAGAGTCAGTACCTAATTACCTCTAATCACGTTGCGCTCATTCATCAAGTCAAATACCTAAACCGATTGGTAGCGTCATCTAGGCGATCATAAGTGCCAAACTGCTAGTTGAAGACTTCTATTATAGATGGCACTGCTAGACAAGCCAGAGCTAAGCCAGAGGATTTTACCACCGCCGTGAAAAATTCCTAACCAAAGGCGCACTCCGGTCCCCTCAACATAAAACTCCCGATATTTCTCTGACCAATCAGAGTAAGCCTTGCTCGGCGCTGATTTGCTAATCAGAAAATGACGTCATTAGGGAGCCACGGCGTTCAAGCTGTTTTGTGGCGGTTCAAGTGATACACTTAGAAGTCATATTTTGATGTTTTTAGAAAAGTCTAGGATGAATGCTTTTATATTTTCAGAAAAGAACCCTTAATGTTGTTGTTGATAAACCCAACTTCGCTATTTTTGCCAATAGTAATAAGCCAGGAAATCATCTCTTGATGGGTCTTCACGCTAAATCTACCACCCCCAACTACGTCATCATCGTTCCTAAGCATGCTGTACTTGGTCATACTTCGTTGCCCAGCACTAGTTAGCCTTGATTTCCGCCAATCAGAGTGCAGAGCTGTCTGCCGAGAGACAGCAGTACTCGATATTAGTGGTGGGCCAAATACTTGTTTTCTAAGATGTTTTTCTTTCAAGCCTTTTATATCTTACTTTTGTTTATATTATATATCGTTTTATATTTTGTTTTTGTAAAGTATATCTGCATATATTGTGATTTATATAGCTTTACTTAGCTAATATGGCAAAGTGTTTACGAGGGGGTGCAGGGAGATATGGCAGCAGATATGGTGCTTGCAAATAGTCTTTAACCCGGTTTACATAGCATATTTGACGAGGCTCTAGCTCGTTAATTTGGCGATAATTTCGTTGCAGTGGTCTTCAAATATTTAGAAGGGATCATTTTGTAAATTGTTAAGCACCATTGGCATCTTTTGCAACATCACGGACGGAGATATAAGCTTGCAACAAACCCTATGTAAACGCGTCTTTTGTACGCATGAAATAGTACCCTTTTTTCGAGCCGAAAATAGCCTATTTATTGCAATTTATTGATGTATTATGCCTGAATTCCGAGAAAGTGGTCTTTGTAGCATTGAATACAGTCACTTGTGTAGTTGCAAAAGGTCACTGGCCAGTTTTGTGATATCTCTAAGCCATCTAGGGAAATGTCTAAATGCTATGTAAACAGGGTTCTTGTATTTAGGGCCTTGGGAAAACCTACACCAATGTATTTCAATATCAATACATTGTCTTATACGATATTGAATCAAACCTCGAGGCAATCTTGTTTTTATGAGCAAACAGTGAGCGTTTTCAGTAGGAACTCATCGCACTCCGTAACTCCGTGAGGACGAGTCGACGGTAGCCCTCGTCGCCCTCTCCTCAGCTATGCGTACATCACGTATGTCTACTATCTATTATTATGCATATGTATTATGTATATCAATACAGTATCGATTATATCAATATAACTATAACGCATGTGTAATGTATCATGTTTCTGGTCGGGTATTCGGTACCCAATAAAAAGTGGCTGACGGAACTTTTCCTGTCTTCTCTTTACGAGCGACTCCATTAGCCAAAACAGTTTTTCTGACGAGATCGAAGAGGTGTGCGTGTACTTTTGCCGATTCTATCGTCAAAAGAAGGGATATTTAAGCGCATTTAGCAGTCCTCTGATTAATGTGGAACACTCGCACGCATGCTCGTTATTGAGAAGTATATTGCCAAATAAATGCCATTCACATATCACGGGACATGAACAGCAAACAGTTCTACAGGGCGTTGCACCATTCAGTCGAACAGGCACATGACAATTAAAATCTTTTCTGACGTGCACCACATTTCTTCAGATGGCCACATGTGAGTGTTCAGAGACACGAATAGTGAATAAGACATCAAAGCACCTTGCACGCTACCGGTCTAAGGCCACACTACTGCACGTACCGATGCCGACCTAAAACATCTAAATGCGACTGTCAGTGGGTGCGTTCGCCAAGGGGAAATGTCACCGCGAACGGCTCTTCATTCGGTGAGCAGCTGCGAGTGGTGACAAACGGTGAGCTCTCACTGGTGAGAACTGGTGAGCGCTGGGCAGCTCCAGTCCGAGGCTGTGCTCGTTCGCCATCACCGGAGGGGCGGCTGGCCGACACTGGAACGGGAGCAGAGGTGTTGCTATACCTGCTATGTTATGTAGTTATGTGCTATGTTATGTAGAGAGTTACGATGTGTTATTTGCCATTGATGCGTTTTAAAAGCTAAGAATCTTAAGCTACGTGCGTGCAAAGGAAGGCTGGCTGGAATATACAACTGCTCACTGCACAGCCTGTATTCATCTCATGGGTTATTGTTAATTAAACTGTAAAATAAATCTCTTAAATAACAAAAGTTGTCATTAACCGTGATAAGGATAGTCCTAATCTAACTGATATGTCGGTAATGTAAGTAGTTTCTGTCCCATTGTGTTATGAATGTAATTTAACCGCTTTCTTACCTGTTTACCTGTGCGATTACAGGATGCAGGCCTTCAGAGTACAGGCGCCACCGCAAGTGCACGTGTTGCACTCTTCCTTGTAAGTAGAGCCGGGAAGGCACTCTGCGTCTGAAATATGATGGCATCGTTGACGTTATCAAGTAGCTTGGTCGTACTCGTATATGTAACATGGCAACATGGTGGCTGGTTCACTGATTTCTGTATAAAAAAAAAAAATAACAAGTAACCGAAATGACGTAGCGATGGTAAGTACATTACCTATCAGGAAACTGAATGTTTTGTGACAAATTTGCAGCAATTAGTTATGACTACCCGCGATGGCTTAGTATTCGACTGCACCCGTATCACGATATCACGACATATGTCCCAGGGTTAAGCTAAATATTTCTAATAAATTCCAAGCGCCCACCTTTCTCCTGGGTCTTGACGATGCCCTCGTGGCACATGACCCTCCTGCCGGCGCGCTGAGGCAGGTCGTCGGCGCCGCTGCAGGTCTTGGGCTTCTCGGCCGTCTGGCCCGGCTTGCAGGCCTTCCTGGTGCAGCCGTAGGACTCGCCTTTGACGCACTCGCAGTCGTTATCACACTCGTCGATGAAGGACTTTCCGTGAGCACAAGCTCCTGAAAAGGCGTCACAAATGCCAGGTGTCACTGGTAAACCTAAGATGCTGGAAGACAGCTGGGTGAATTGGAATCTAAAGTTTTTGGATTTTTGTGTCATTTGGCTATAAGCAGTGCTCACTGCATTGCCAGTAAATACACGTGAGAAAGGGCAGCTTACCTTGCTTCGGAGCGCATTCCTTCAGAGTGCAGCCCATCTGCCCCTGTTCTCCGCAGAAGCAGCTGTTGCAGTCCTCTTTGAACAGTGATTTAGGAATGCAGGAATCCTCTGAGGGAGAACACACAAATTGAACACACCACCATTGGTGGCAACTATGATAGCAGAGTCGTAGACGCTTGGTACACGCTGATAAACTTCTCGTATTGAATTGTATTGAAAAGTATTGAAAATCGGTCCGATAACTTGCTTTTAAGTTCAAGAATAGCTCAGATCACAGCGGTACCTATACCGTTGTCGCGTTATAGAATTATCACAAAATGACGCAAGATGCAAAGCAATGTTGATATTTTTTATGAAGTGCATCATGGGTCCCAATCAGCTTGAATGATCTCCAAACATCCTTTATTACGTGCAACCAAGTGATGCTATAAATTCCTGTCCCATTGTCCGCCTTCTTACCCTTATTCTGGAGCTTGACGATGCCGTCGTGGCAGAAGACGCGCTTGCCCTTCCTCTCGGGCAGGTCAGCGCTGCTCGCGCAGGTCATGGGCTTGGCGCCGGTCTGGCCCGGCTGGCACGCCTTGTACGTACACCCGTAGCCGTCACCGCCGCAGGTGCAGTCATTGCCGCACTCGTCGATGAATTCCAGACCGTGAGGACATTCTGCAAGCATAAATAGTGTTGGTGACGGTGTGAGCCGAGAGTGGCTGTGCTACTGAAGAAACTCCGTTCTAAAAGGGTAAAATATTTCCAAACAAAACATATAATTTCTAACGAGCATGGGCACGACGGATGGGCGCAAAATCGTAAAATGTTGCAAAATATGAGTGGTATGCATCGCGCATCGAGCTCATTCGTCCATGCTTCTTGTTGCCTTCAGTGCTGACCGTCTGGTGTCTATAACACTCAATTTTTGTTTTGGTTAGGCCTCGCGGTCTATTCAAAGTTCAGACCATTTCAGGGTTTGGATGAGATTTGACAGTTCAAGTTGGAGACCTCAGACTGAATCGATGGCATGGCACTGCTGCATAGTGCATGGCATCGGCTCAGCCAATACAGTTGGGGTGGGAACATCTCGTTGGGAGAGACAGCCCCACCCACTCAGTCAGCCGTCCCGGAGGGGTTCTTTCCGAGCACAGCGCGGACGGCGCACGAGCACTCACTGGTGGAGGGTCCACAGGTACTGAAGAACGGCCCAGACTCGGTCAGTACCGTGCCCGGCGGGCACGGCTCGCCGGGCATGACGGTGAGGTCGCCCGGGTTACCGATGGCGCAGGGGCAGTCGTAGCAGTCCCTGGCCTTGTTGTAGGACTGGCCGCAGTCTTGGGGACACTCTGGCAGGCCGTCCTCGCAGGTCACCGTCGACTCTGCAATGTAACAGTCCGGTGACCCGGTCAGCGCCAGCATCTACATACCACAAGAGCTTCTAGTCGCAGAAGTACCCCGAATAGCGGCGGATTTCCTTCAGTGAAAGGCGATGACGATAGGTACTACAATTGCGTTGCATCTTTTATTTTGTTGCTGATAATATCTCGCCTTCAGACACCTAACTAGATATTCTTTTCACTATTACACGCAATTATCGACATGCATCGCGCCAAATCATCTCGACTCCGGTGGCGGAACCCACCCGACTCCTCGCCGACGCAAGCTTTCAGAGTGCAGCCACTCTTTCCAGTGTCACTGCAGAAACATTCGTTGCACTCATCGTTGAAAACCGCACCGGCCAGACAGGTCTCATCTGCAAACAGAAGTATTGGGCTAAATAAAGGGCGAAACGGGCAACTATTTTATAAACTTATCACGGCTCATGCCGGTGCTTCGCGAAAAATGTCATGTTGAGGTGAGAGATTCTGCTTTTGGCTTCCATGTCTAGCGTTATTGAAATGTTTCCCGAAATATTATTTCCAATTTGACCTCAGTCCCAGGTTGAAACCTTGACACAAATAAAAGTTTCCATTTGTGTTTTGTATGCCTTTTGACAGCATATCCTTTTAAAGAGTAAGACGTATTGGATTGCAGCAGCTCTTCCAGAAATTGAGCACACTCTTTCGGAGAGTGACGCTACTCACTGCACAAACACAAACTCACCATTGTCCTGCACCTTGACGATACCCTCGTGGCAGAAGACGCGTCGGTTCGCCCTGTACGGCAGGTCGACCGTTCCACTGCACGACATGGGCATCATGCTGATCTGCCCCGCCCGGCATTCTTTCCGCGTGCAGGCGTACTTGCCCTCCAGGCAGCGGCAGTTGTTGTCACACTCGTCGATGTACTCGTCTCCGTATCTGCATTCTGAGGACGGAGCGGGACCCTCAGTGAGTGGGGACTAGTGAAACCAATCTTGAACATTTGCGAACAGCTAAGTTATGCTCATTGAAAAGCGTATGATTTAGCCGGTAAACATTGCGGCAATTTGGGCTGTGGAGTGAAAAAGCGTGAGAGATTTTGCTTTGCTTATCGCTTATGCTGAATATAGATGTGAACGGTATCCGATTTTCGTAATATCCAACTAATTTTAGATATTTTATGTGTGTCGGGAGATGGAGAATCAGCATTTGAGTAAAGCTACCATCAAAGGCAGTGGGTATAAGAATACGCCCAAATCACTTCACAAATGTCTGTATCCGTACTTTTCTCGTGCAGCTTGACGATGCCGTCCTCGCAGACCACCTCGGCGCCGGCCCGGGAGGGCAGGTTGTCGGAGCTGGTGCACCGCATCGGTACCTCCGGCCGCTCGCCCGGCTTGCAGGCCTTGAACGTGCACCCGTAGAACTCGTCGTTGACGCAGTTGCAGTCGTTGTTGCACTCGTCGATGAAGCCTGGTCCGTATGAGCAGCTGGAGTCTGCCGGAAAAAAATGGTGGATAGGTTGCTTAGTTGTGATTTTAATGGGCATTTAAACACTCCCCTCAGCTTCATGGCAGGATGTAAGAAAGTCAACTCAAGCTGAGCCAGATTAAAATATTGGTAGAGTTGATGCATCACATCCTGATCGCATTTTCGCCTGCATAATAACAGCGGTTTCTGGTAATGATTGCACTCAGATTGTTAATTTACCGAAGGAATCACATTTACTCTACGAAAGATGAGTGCAGGACCTGAAAGAATTCTCGAACAATCAATCCCATTGGTCACAATAAGGTCACAAAGTTCACAACAATCGACATAAACTTATAGTTATGTCGATTATTATAGTTTGCAAATATTCTCGGGCCGAGATTTAGTTTATACCCAACACCTTCACCGACGTACCGGTTCTCAGATCAATGCACGCCCTCAAAGTGCACGCTGCCTCCCCGGAGTCGGAACAGCGGCATGTGTTGCAGTCTTCCTTATCCTTAAAGACGGAGCCCGGCAGGCACTTAGCATCTGAAACAGCAATCAGCTCAATTGCAATAAAGACAGCCAAGAGCTAACATACTGTAACTGTCGCGATCAGCATGCTTCTCTGGGTACTTTGGACACGGCTCAGAATGCCTATAATTTGTTCAGCTTGTTGACGAGGCATGACGGTCTAGAAACAAAATTTTGCTTAAACTATTTTTTTTGGGTAGAGGTTACCAAATCCTCATCAAAATAATTATATGTAAAAAATGTGAATGCCTCAAAGCATTGCCAACTATCTTCAATGCTGAGCGGGTTTAAACGGCTGACCCACCTGTCGGCTGGGTTTTGACGATGCCCTCGTGGCAGAAGACGCGCTGTCCGGTCCTCTTGGGCAGGCCGTCGGCGCCGCTGCAGGTCTTGGGTTTCTCGGACGTCTGTCCCGGCCTGCAGAGTTTCCTGGTGCAGCCGTACTTGCCGTCCGCGATGCACTTGCAGTCGTTGTCACACTCGTCAATGAAGCTCTGTCCGTGCTGGCAGGTCGGTCCCTCTGTAACAATTACACCATCTCATAGCATTCACCATATCGCGCTGAGCGCCGGTATGTTATGAACAGACTGACAATTTATTTAATTCCAATGCACTTTGAGCAAAAATTGATGTTACACAATGGTAAAAATGCGACTCAAAATCATAGTTGAACGTTGTTTGCTCTCTATTTTCGTTATCAAACGCATCTACGCAGTACGCACATAGGTACTTATATTTGCGACGCCCGGTGGATTACATTCTGTTGAACAGTGAATGCCCAATGCCCATCCCAACTATTTGTGACCGGGTCAGTGGTATGATATGACGTGTTGTGTCGACAACCTTGTCATGCACGGCTGTAGGCGAAAACGTCTTTGGTCAGTTCGAATTCAGCGCTTTGTGCTTGCTTTGTGCTTACTGGGTTCTGATGTAATGCACAACTTGAAAGTGCATCCAGCCACGCCCTTATCGGTGCACCGACACGTGTTGCAGTCTTCCGCGTCCTTGAATACAGCGCCCGGCAGACAATCGGCATCTGCAACAACGGTCAACGCGTTCATGTGTCAGCACATTCATGTCGCATTCCCGGCCCTGCTGCCAGGTGTTTTAGGTGAATTCGCTTGGATTAGATGTGCATTGTGCAAAGAAGAAAACAGCGTCGCTTTGAGATACTTACGGAAAACGGCGAGGGGTGCTCAAACAACTCCCAGCACGGCGAGGTCAAATTCGTAACACCCCAGGAGTTGCGGAGCGGCCCTTGCCTAACTATTTAGGTGGAGTTCGATATACTAACTCTGCACATCTTGTCGGCACATTCACCGATTCATTATAGCAAACCGAAACAAAACCGATTCAGCATAAACTGAAAGCAACTTTGATAGGTCATAAGCGATCAGAGAAAATGTAAGAGAAGCAACAGAAAATATAGAAAAAGCAACTGAGACTTCGCATGATGAACTATAGTGCAACTGTTAACCCTCGCCGGACCTATTGGTTTTCTATATACGCGCCGGCCGAGGGGGGGGGGGGGGGGGCGGGTACGACCCCCCCTCGCCGTTTCGCCCCTGGTGGAGCTAGCGCGTCGCGGAAAAAACGAGCGTGTGCGCCGTTACGAGACGCAGAGATTGGTACCCGATTTTAAGGTCCTAGGTCAACCGGTGACCTCTGAGGTCAGGTCAAGTGCCCCAAGGTACGGTTCAGTTTTTGGTGAATAACTTCGCAAAAAACGGCTGCAGAGCGCCGATTTTGGCAGCATCGTGTTCGTCTCGCTCAGGCGCGTCGAATGATATACTTTTTGTCCGGGTCAGGTCAACTTGGGGTGTTGACCTCAGGTCAAGGTCAGGTCAGCACCCCCAGGTCACGAAGTTGGTCGAAAGAGGTCATGTCGCATATCATTCGATTCGGCAGGTCTTCCTGAGTCCATTGGTGGCTTTCCCGACTCGCTAGCTCAATCTGATCAAGAGTTATTGACGAAAAACTAATATGACCTTGATGACGTCATAAATGACGTCACGCAAGGTCAACATTGCAAAAGTGACGCATCTAACCTTGCAAGGAGTGCATCAAATCACGATTCTGTGTGCTTGAGATAGTTGGAGATCGTTCCCGGCGCCAGAATAGCAGTTTGAATTTTTCCCCATTGACTTATAATGGTGAGGTCACGAAAATGACCTGACCTCATATGACCTTTAGGAAAAATCCGAGATATACAAGTTGTGGGACTCATAATGGATACTAGATCCTGCAAGTTTCATTTCCCTGTGACATCTCCTCTGGCAGTGAGGGCGTTGCGAAGTTGCGACATCTGAAGACCGTGCAGAGGTTCACTTATGACGTCATAGGTCAGTGACCTGACCTGACCCAAAATGTGGTTGGTGTCAAAAGATCCGGCTTGGATCAAAGGTCAGGTATGCCAAGTTTCAGCTCTCTATCGCCAGCGTGTTCGGAGCTATCGCGAAAAAAACCCTATGGGGGGGGGGCGGCACCCGCCCCCCCTCGGCCGGCGAGGGTTAACTATAGTGCAGCTGTTAGGTACTGGTATGCTACGTAGGTATAGTCAAACCGGCAAAATCATACTTCTTCCTAAATTATCAGCAGTCTAGAGCACGCGTCACCCACCTGTCGGCTGGGTTTTGATGATGCCCTCGTGGCAGAAGACGCGCTGTCCGGTCCTCTTGGGCAGGCCGTCGGCTCCGCTGCAGGTCTTGGGCTTTTCGGGCGTCTGTCCCGGCCTGCAGAGTTTCCTGGTGCAGCCGTACTTGCCATCCGCAATGCACTTGCAGTCGTTGTCACACTCGTCAATGAAGCTCTGTCCGTGCTGACAGGACAGCGGCTCTGAAACATGCCAATAATAATGCTCATTGCTCATCTTAGGTTCAAGACTATATGCGTAACGATTTCACACATTGGTTATACGGAATTGCTTTATTTTGTTCTAAATCTCCATTGTTAATGTTTGTTTTCAAGATATTTTGAATATGAAAGAATGATGTTGACACACTTGCAGCGAACATGCAATATGCCATGTTCTTCTTCAGATATTACCAGACCAAAAGTACCTATAGCACACTGTGCGGGTATGTATAGTCCTAAGCAGCAAATTACTGCACCATTCAACAAATACCTTATATTAATACGTCTTGTTACCAGCTGAAAAACTACACACACCTCATTATTTTTGCATGTCTGTCATCGCCCGCATCTCTGCAATCGTCTGCCATTACAAGGCGACCCATATCTTCTTCATGGCCTATCCTCGTGTAGGCGGCGAGTGGCGATCGACCCCCTCCTTACCTGGTTCGGGCAGCGGCAGCGGCTCGGGAGGCTGCACCAGCGGGCTATCCCCGCACCTGCAGAACACGCACTTCTCGTTGCGGCTCACATAGCCGCAATCCTGGGGACACTCGGTCTGTCCGTTGCAGAACTCAGTGTCGCTCTCAACTGTAACGATAAAGAAAGGCGAGGTTAGCTGCCTATATTGGTCGATTATTGTGTGTGGATTTTAGTATTTAGTGTGTGGATTAGTATTGTGAGTGGATTTTTGACTACATGATTATTGATTATCATTGGCAAAGAAACGAAACGTAACAAGTGATAAAGACGCAGATAGTGTGAAAGATTCTGGGATTATCCTGACGATAGTGAGATCACGAAAGGTAAATCAATTTCGATTTCGATTCGTACTTTTGTTGGACATTTCGGTGCATACCGGTGAATATCGCATGGGCTATAACATTGTAGCAATACGCGCCTTAAAGCTCTTCTAACCGTCTTGCTAATGCGTCCTTGCAGATAAGGCCTAAGGTCAACGATATGGATTTCAGAATGCTGAATAGAAGAGACAACTCTTCGAAATGGACGTTTTTGTAAGCTACCAACGCTCTTTTCCAATATGCTTTTGTAGTTTCTAATCCAGCACATTGTTGATTTATCCAGCATTGTGCTCCACGAATGAACTTATTTTTTACCTTGAAAGGTCACCTTTAGAATATTGACATCACGTCAAGGTGACCTCACCTGACGTCTCCGAACACGATAACATTGCACGTTTTCCGCTTCGTATTTATGTACTCTCAATAGCCCAATAGCCCTATAGCTCTAGACGTATTCAGGAGGTTTTCATTGCTCTGTGACATGGCTCGATCAAAAGTGATTGTCGAAAATCTGCTGATGGCATTTGAAGAACTAGCATGAACCTCCGCACTGAAAAAAGTTTTTACCATCAATTTACTAAGTTACTAGCTTTGGTAAATTTTACCATCAGCCTACCATCATATTACTACCAGCCTACTATGGTGCTGAATACTATCCTGCCTTGACATGTTGATATTACCATGGTTACGTTTATCAGGGGTGGTTTTGTACCCCAGTTTACAAGGTGGTAACCACCTGAGGCTAGTAGATACCCTCGTAAGCTAATATTCCCTACCATAGTAAAATCAACCTTTCCACGGGCGGATCCAGCAGGTGAATTCGGCGATCAAGTCTCCTCCTTTCCATAGAGGTGTTTGCCAATTTTTGATATGTTGGAAGGAGCGTCATCCAAGGACTAGCTGAGACCCTGAGCAATTAATAGTTTTATGGACGAAAGGCCAGAAATTTCTTGCAACAGTTCCCTGGGTGTGCTTCTGCTGCTATGGTAAGGTATACCATGGCAACACCATGACAACACTACACCCTTACTAACAATCCACGTGCGTCTGACTCTGCTGCAGCGGCGCCGCCATGTCAGTTCCGGCCGCGCGCCGGCGTTGTGAAGGTGCTCCGTGGTTTTAAATATTTGAACGGTGATTGTGTGGGTGGTTAGCGTAGCTGACGGTGGAGGATACTCGGAAATAACAAGTAAGTCGTTGTATCTTCAGCATAATAATACTTATCTCACGAGTGCCATTTCCAGCAAAGATCGCAGCCTTTGTTTCGGTTCATGTTGTTGAATTTCCTTGAGACCCTGTTGGACCGGGTAGGGGGAGGGTGGTGGGGTGGGTATCATTGCGGGCATTTCCCAGCGTCGGAAATCAACGTGTTTTTTTATTTGTTAACCCACGCCTCACTGGGGTATGTGCTCTAACGCGCCCCACAGCACGTTACAGCACGTTACAGTGGGGGGGGGGGGGGGGCTCCTAACTCCGAAACTACTGGGCCGATTGTCAAAATTCAAACGGCCCCTGGTAGCCCTGGAAATATTGTTGAGCGAAGCCTAATGTCATTGACCTCGAGGTCATCGATGACGTCACAGGTCAGGTCAAAGTAAAAATATCAGCGTCTTGGCACTCTGGGCGCCGGCCAACAAATCAGATCAGGCTCATTTTTTGTTTGCACACTCGTGAATATATGCGTAACATAACCTGAGGGTACCGAACTTGTACTTCGAATTTTTCAGGTCAAGGCCATCTCATCCCAGGTCACGAAAGCTTTATATCGTGCATCGGTGACGTGAGACATGTTTTATGGTTCATGTAGGCCATATATATCGAAATCAGTGTTGTATGTGTCAGTTTAGGCCATTTTAGCTGAATATAGCTGAGGTCAGGTCAGGTCACTTTAGGTCAAAAATGGTCAAATTTTGAAGTTGACATTTTTCAACAAAAAAGGTGTTTGTCAGATGAAGTTCACATATATTCAACGCATATGTGTTCAAACACATATAGACCCCGTTTCCATGGGCATCACTGATCCGGATCAGCAAACTTAAATCGTATTATATTTCTCGAACTCTTCGTTACATGATATAATTCCAAGTGGATTAGGCTTATATAATCAGTTAATCCCTTATTTTCATTTTCATATATTGTCTAACTATACTGGATTAGCTAATCCATTTTTACTGATCCGGATCAGTGATGCCCATGGAAACGTGGTCATATTCTGCTTTTTTTCATTCAGAAACGTATATGTAAAAAAATAAAAAATACAATTTCTGAGTTTTTATATTTATAATTTTCAAAATATTCAACATTTCGAAAGTCCGAAATCAGTTTGGTAGCCCTGTAGAGTCCACCCATGCAAAAAAAAGGATCTAGCTTAACCCTCAAGGCGGTGGGGGGGGGCATTTTTTGCATCCATCTTTAGTTTTTTTTTTCGATATATCTCCAGAACCGCTGCGCCGATCTTCACCAAACTTTCAGTACCCTTTTGCACATTGTGACCAAATTTTTTTTCCAAAGGCTATGATAAGTTGGCCGCTACGTCGGAGTGACGTCATTTCTGCCATTGTCGACCAAAAAAAAAAGCTTCGCGGGAAGAGCTGTCAGGTCTATAAATTTGATTATGCATAAAAATGTTCAAGACATGAAATGTGTAGAATTACCAGGGCTACTATACTGTTCTCTCGATTTTGTTTTTGAAGTTGACCCCAAAAATAAAAAGAAATAGATATAATAGCCAAAAAATCCCAAAAGTTTTTCGATTTTCGAAACAAACGGAATATATGTAATAGCCACTATGGACTTCTATTCACATTCCAAGTATTAGATCGATAACTCCTTTTTGCCAAGTTATAACAAAAAAAAAAACTGTTCAAAATTAATGACGTCAAATTTTCAAACTCGATTTTGGCAATTCTAGACCACAAAGCGCAAAACAAAGACCACCATTAGACTCGCCGTGACGAGTGGCATCGAATCAATACCAATTTTATGCGAAACTATCAACTTTGACCTGAAATTTGACCTTTTTGACCTGACATTGACCTGACCTCCACCAGAAAGTGACCAAAAAACCGTCCCTGATGGTCTTATAACCAACACCATTGAGGCGAATATGAAAAATTGGCCATAAAACATGCATCGCACAACCCTACTTAGTAAAGATAGGTTCATGTGCTGACCCTTGGTGATCGGACCTGGTATTATCAGTGACCTCCAATAGCAACATATGCTCGTATAATAGGCAACTCACGCCCTATCGCTGATTTTTGACAAAATGCCCTTTACTCGATGTTGCAGCGCATTCCTTAAAAGACCCGTGAACGGTGAAACATTTTATCTTTGACTTGGCCTGTGATGTCATCGGTGACCCCGAGGTCAATGAAATTGAAGTTCCCTCGACAAATTTAACAAGGCTATCGAACGCCATTTAAATTTTACCGATCCGTCATAGTAGCTTCGGAGATTCGGGGGGGGGGTCAAAAATCCCCCCCCCCTCCCACCGCGCGGAAGGTAGCCGGGAGGCCCACCGCTTGCCGGGTTAAAACTCAGATCTTGAGAGCGATTACCGTTGTTCAATGCTTTGCATCAAAATCGGCCGAACATGATGTCACTCTGGCGTCATTTCCGGCCGATCTATAGTAGCTACGAAAATTTTATTAGTGCACAAGGTGTCAAATAAATTGATGCAGCCGAAGGTCCTAAAAGCTTTGTTTTGATACGTCCAGCGGTTTTAAAGATATTGCGTAAACACGAGAGGGGCTATGAATAGCCCTCCCCACAGTAGGGTGGGGGTTAACCCTCGCCCGTATTGGTGTTTTTCCAGCCACGAACGTTTAAGGGGGGGTCCGTTGAACCCCCTCCTTGCCGTTTCGCCCCTGATTGAGCTAGAGCTTCGCGGAAAAAACGAGCGTGCTGCCCGTGACGAGAGAAAGCCGATGGTACCCAATTTTATCCTAGGTCGTCGGTCCTAGGTCATCGGTTGACCTTCCAGGTCAGGTCAATGACCCAAAAGTGGGGAAAACTGGGACCTGTTAGAACGTCGTAAAACGTGGCTGCTATTGGGTTTTTTTAGGGAACTGATCACGAATATCATGTTAGCTATGATCATAGATGATGTCTTCATGCATTTAGGCCAGGTCGGGTCAGGTCAGGTCAGGTCAACCAGTAAGGGTTTTGCCGGGTATTCGTAGTAGGTGCACTAGGTGGCAACCGCCTCTGACAGCTTCGTAACATGTTACGAAGGCACCAAAACTACTTCGTAAATGTTCATATATGGTTGTTAAATTCGAAATCAGCTAAAAAAAACTAGCCTAGAAAGATGCTGATAAAACTCGAAAAAGTAAACCGAGGTCATCAAAGGTCAATGAACTGACCTGACCTTCTGGTGACCTTGACATCCACCCTAATGCATGGGAGCAGCATCATATCCCATGTTTGAACGCTTGAAACCACGAAAGGACTGCAAACGCGCGGCAAATGCGAGCCGACATACGCCGAATCGCGATTCCGGCCAAACATGGTCTCGAAAAGTAGGTCACAGGTCAAAGGTCATTAGTCAGGGCCATTACATTTTTTAGGGTAGGTGTAAAATTGATTATAACTCGAGGGTACTGAAAGCTTCGTTGCGGTCGGCCGCTTTTTACGCGAGGTATTCGCGAAAAACCGAGGGGGAGTCCGTTCGACCCCCCCCCCCTATACGGGGGAGGGTTAACAAGCCAAAACGTTGCTAATTTTTATTTTGATCTGACCTGTGACGTCAACGGTGATCTCGAGGTCAATAAAATTAGGTTTTGC